AGGCCCAAAGCGAGAAGAATCACGTCACCGTCTAGCTGCTGACACACAGACTAGAGGAGGCCGAACTCCGGGCGGAGCTGCAGGTGAATTGTGGGCGGAGCTGCAGGTGAATTGTGGGCGGAGCTGCAGGTGAATTGTGGGAGGAGCTGCAGGTGAATTGTGGGCGGGGCAAGGAGGGGCAGGCAGCCTGGCCTAAAACAGACCAGGGACAGCCCTGAAGTGCCTGGAGGTAAAGCGAGGGGCTTCACAAGCAAGCGCTGAAAAATGTGTGAACTTTAGCAGCTTTTGCAAAGCCTGATACTTAGAGAAAGTAGCAGAAAGAGATTAAATCCTGATGATAGGAGCCTAAATTGGGATGACCTCTCCAGATGTCATTATGGCAAAACATACATCAAGAGTGGTCAAGAACGTTGGTGTGCCCTGACTTCATGATTCTGCTGTGGGAACTTTACTGAACATTATCTGTGGACTTAGCTGGAGCTGTTTGCATTGCGCTGGTGCTTATAATAGCACAAAAGAATTGGAATCAGCTTTGAATCATCAACCATATTGACTAAGTCAGTAAATTATGGTGCCACCATTGAAAATAGACACATTTTTGAATAGTGTCTAATGCTCTGGACATTATAAGAGAGAAAGCATGGCCTACGATGTCGTGGTGGCAGCATGTGTGTGTGTGGAGGAAGGGCCAGGAGATACAGCACGTCGGGCGTGCTGCGATCACGGATGACTTAAATTTTGTAATTCTTGCCTTTCTGAAGTTTCTGCATTAAACACGTATCACATTGCTAATGTTCTTCTTACACTTGTGAAACCGACATTTAAAAACAGGGTAACCAAATGCAAAAACTTGAACTTGACCGCATGACTCAGGAACGTCAGAGCCCGAGACTGGCCCAGTCACAGCTGAGAGAAGCCCTTGAAGAGAGTCGGGACCAGGTGGGTGTGCATGGGGGTCCCAGGCTGAGAGGGGTCAGCCTCGCCTCTGACCGCCTGCATGGGACTCATCTGGCCAAGGGTGTCACGGGGCTGGCTGAGGTCACACGGCTAGGGGGGGCGCCCTCCAGGCCCAGGACTCAGTCAGGCCCTGTCCACGGTCAGGTGGAACATGCGTGAACCATGTGAAGGGCTGTGCCTGTTTGCTCCCGAGGGCAGGAGTCCATACAGCTCCTCTGGGTGTGCCCTCTGCAGGTGGAGGAACCAGGGAGCACAGCAGGTGGCCTCCGAGGCTCAGGCCGTGGGCGGTGCAGCCCCCGAGGTGACCAGCTCCTGGCCCCCAGCGGAGCCCAGGTGTCACACGCCTGTGGCTGTGTGCCCACTGCCCTGCCCAGCACTTGTCCGGTGCCTGCCAGGCTCAGAGGTGCAGCGGTGGGGAGGCAGGGAGCTCGTGGGCTGGGACACACAGATGTGAGCCGAGCAGGCCCAGGAGGGGTGGCGGTGCCTGCCAGCGTGAGGTGCTGGGACACAGGGCTGGTTCTTCCAAGCAGCTTGAGCAGGAGGAGAAGAGGGAGGTGACGGTGTGACATGGGGTGCGCTTGGAGGGCCAGGGTCTGCAGGGGGAAGGGGCTGTGAGAGAGGGTCCCTACGCCTTGTGTCTCTGCTCAGCCTGGCACCAGGTTCCCCACCCCTGGACTTAGCTGTGGACACCTGGTGGCCTGGGTTGCAGAAGGGTCTGTCTGCATGTGGGACTCCTCTCTGTCCAGGGTCTGAGGAGGGGTTGGCAGACCCCTGTGGGCCCAGCCCCCCACTGTCAGCAGGCACTTTCTCCAAGGTGTGTCTGTGTATTGGTGGCTCCCTTCCCGGTTTGTAGTGCAAAAGGAACCTTGAGAAATTGCTGGACTGGTTTGAGCCTTTGAGGTGAAGAAGACAGACCCACCCATGGGGAGCAGGGCTGGGCTGCCAGACGCTTCCATGCCCCCTGAGGTGGGGGGATGCCCAGCAGTCAGCCGCTGTCACAGGCAGGAGGAAATGCTGTGAGGCAGCTGGTGTCACCTTTTGTGAGTTAGATGAGGATCCCCCGAGACACACCTGGATGAAAGTGTGAAGATGGTGTAAGGTTCTTACAGGGCATCTAGGGACGGTTGGGGGTTGCAGAGGTGAGGGTGCATCCAGAGCCTTGGAGAGGCAGTGCTCCTGAGGTCACGCGGCCCACAGGGGGGCCTGGCATCGAAAAGGGCGCTTACACGGGCAGCGTCCTGGGGTGCTGTGGATGGGGGCCCCTGCGCCGGCCTCTCTGTGGCATCGGGTCCTCGTGGCGTGGCAATGAAGCGCCCAGCAAGGGCAGACAATCATCTGGTCTTCTGAGCACTGTGCCGGGGGGTTCCTTAGCATCACTGTCCCACATTTGGCCAGGCCAGCCTGGATTCAGGGTGGAAAGGTCCGCCGTTGTCTTAGGGGCTCACTGCCCCACCCCAGCACCCAGAACATGGAGGCCCTGGCTTCCTGGGTGCAGGGGCCCCACTTCTCTTCTGGGGACATCCTGCCTTCTCATATTGCGGTCGAGCAGGGCTCTCAGGAGTGGGCCTACCCACCATCTACACCTTGCTTTATAAGGAGGGCCTCAGGGGCACTGAGCTGGGCTGTGCTGAAATTCTGCCTGGCCAAGGAGAGTGGACGGCAAGGCCTGTGGTCAGGCTTCAGGGCTCAGCACAGCATCGGCTGCAGGAGGCAGCAAGGCACCCAGGCAGATGTGCAGGACTCAGACATGGGCTGGAGTAGACTGCATAGTGATCATCCTAAGTATTTTCTTCATGACCTCGTCACGGGCGGGACCTCCCATAATGGCTCCCAGCACCCGGCCTGCCCTCAGCAGGGCCCCTGATGGAGCCGCCACCTCTCCCATCCACGGGGTCTCAGAGGGCAGTTCTGTGTGCTCCAGACGAGGCCGCCAGAGCCTGTGGTGTAAACGGTGTTTAGATGGCCTCCCAGGCGCTCCGTGCAGGGAAAGCTCTGGACAGCCTAGTGCCAGTGATCCTGTGGGTTCTGTGCCCAGGGAGCAGTGTCCCAGTCCTTCCACATCCACGCCCCACCAGACGCTGTGCAACCACCTCCGGGGCCCTGGCCACAGCCCGTCTCAGGAGCGTGAGCTCTACATTTAGAGGGAGGCTGTGTACGCGGCTGGTGTGGGTCCCGTTATGGAAGGAATGAAACCCAGCGATGAACCCAGGAGGTAAACAGGACAGAATAACTTAATCCTCCCAGGATCCGGCATGAGGTCACTGAGAGGGCTACAGGCAGGGCTCCCAGGCTCTCCGGGTGCAGAAACACCCCTGAGTTGAGTTTGTGTTAGTCGCTCGGTCCTATCCGATTCTTTGTGACCCCATGGACTTTAGCCTGCCAAGCTCCTCTGTCTGTGGGATTCTCCAGGCAAGAATACTGGAGTGGGTTGCCATCCCCTTCTCCAGGGGATGTTCCCAACTCAGGGGCCAAATCCACGTATCCTGTGTCTCCTGCATTGCAGGCGGATTCTTTACCGTCTGCACTACCAGGAAATGGAGTGTGGCATAAGATAAGCGGATTCTTTAGAAATCGTGGGCTTTCTGGACAGGCCCTTCTCCTTTGGGGTGGCCTACCAGGTAGAGATGCAGTTTTCTGTGTCTGGTGGTGACCCTGAAGCTCTGGGCAGTCACCCCACAACTGCTGTGCCTTTTCCTCGGCAGCTGTATGGAGCCACCCAAAGGCTGTGGCTGGCCCGGTCCCAGCACGCCCAGCGGGTGCGGCAGCGGCAGGAGGAGATGGCACAGCGTGTGCCCGCAGGCCGCGTGGCCGAGCTGCAGCAGCTGCTGGAAGGGGAATACCGGGTGGCTCAGCAGCTCCAGGAAGAGGCGCGGGTGAGTGAGGACAGGGCTGGGGGACCATCTGGGAGTGACGGGGAGGGTGAGGTAGGATCTCAGGCGCAAAGGGGAGAACGGCCCGACAGCCCTCTCACCATGTGGGATGTTTACGGAAGCCACGGGATCCAGCTTCCACTGGGAACTGGTGGGTGCTGAGTGGCCGACCCTGACGTCCCCCAACCTGTTTTCTGGGCTGCATGTGTTTGCAGCCAGCCACACACGTGACCTGCTTCCAGGTCTGAAAGGTGGTGATAGAAGGGCACCAGTAGAGGGATGGACAGGGATAGCTCTTCAGGAGTGCATGGAGGTGCAAAGGTCCTGAGGTGGGCTGTGTTTGGCATGCATAAGAGCAGCAAGGGGTGGGGAGATGGTTGGACAAGAGGTCAGCACAGTGGCAGCACGGACTTGGGGAGCGCTGCTGTGTGCCAGCCTCTCATGTAGAAAGAGAGTTGCTGCCTTAAAACGGCAGCAGAACAGTGGCTCAGAGCATGCACTGCAAGGGAGGGCATCCTGGTTCCACCACCTGAGCTGAGTGATTTAACTGAGTGAGCGATTTAACTCTCTGTGCTTCCGTTTCTTTCAACCTCTGGTGGCAGTGGTTGCCACCTCAGAGCAGTCTCTCAGGCATCAGTGAGTGAGCACCTCGAAGCGCGAGCCTGGGAAGCACATTTGGGTCCTTAAAGTTCATGGGTCAGTGGGAGGGTGAGGAGGGGCAGAGGGCCAGGTGACTTCCTGAGGAAGGAATTTGTGCAAGATTGGAAAGGTGGGTAAAATCTGACATGTATAAAACACAAATTCTAACGAAGAACAGCCTTATAGCATTATGCAGACACATTGTGCTGGAGAGACATTTAAGCTAGGGAAGATTTTGACAAAGGAAATTTAGTCAGTGATCCTCTAGAAAGACTACCATGCTTGAGGAAACTCACCTTTGAGTCATCTAGGATTAAGATCCTAGGACAAGGAGTCTCTTATCTGCTCACACTACAGTGAGAAATGAAGCTTTGTGGCTTGTGAGACATTTCTAACCATTTGCCCCTATGGATGAAAGGTTAGCCAGATGCTCAGATTTTGTACACTTCAGCTGATTTCCATTCTAAAGTAAATAAGCCTGAGATGATTCTCTTTAAAATGTACCGAGTTGATCTCTAACCTCCTCTTGTTCAGGAAGCACATGAACAACAGCTGAAAGCAACAGAAGAGCAGGTGGAGGAAGTGGAGATGATTTTGAAGAACATGGAAGTGCTCCTCCAAGAGAAAGTGGGTGAGCTGAAGGAAGAGGTGAGTGACGGACGCCTTTGGGCATCCGGGTAGCTAATGAGGGAGACAGGATCCAAGAGAACCCTGTGTCCTGTGGAAGTGCTGAGGAGGGGAGAGGAGGGCAGGGAGAGAGGGGCCTTGCTGGCCTGTGAGGTCTGCTTGGTGCTCCAGGAAGTGAAATGTGAGCATCTGTGGAAATACTTCTCTTACACAGGGACCGAATGTGGTTTATCTGGAGCACCCTGGGCCGCGGTTCCCCAGGTCTAGTCTCTCTGTGCAGGCTGCCCGCTCCAGACCCCCACTCCCCATCTGTGTAACCCCTGTCCTGCCGGCACCACCACCCTCCAACCTTGTCTGTCCCCAGGTCCTCACTTTCCTTCCAGCCGTCAGGCTCTTGGTGACCCCTCTACCCCCCAGTCACTCCTGGCAAAACCTCAACCCCAAGTAAATCTTGAGGCTCCTGCATGCCAGGGGTGGAGGTATGGTGGACTGTCCCAACTGCCACCCTTCCTCCACACCCCCTCTCTGGGGGGCCCTTCCTCTCCGCCTCTGACCCCCAGCCCCTCTCCTCTCCTCTCAGTTGTGACTTGGGCTTGTGTCCCCGTGAGACCAGAAGGTCCCGGAGAAATGGCCGTGCTCTAGCTCCCCCAGCCCCACTTCCGACGTCCCTTCTCTGGTCTCCTCGGCACCGCCTTCAGGAGCCTGGTCCTCCCAGCGTGTTCTCTGCTCCCTTGACAGGCACCCCTTCCGAGTTCTCTGCTCCCAGCCGCCCGCCCACCTCGGGGCCCGTCTCATTCTTCAGCGCGGCCCTTGGTGCAGAGCAGAGCTCCCATCGCCCACTCCACCATCTTTTGGGTCCTGACAGCTGGGGTGCTCATCTCCCCTGCCAGCCCCTCAGCACAGCAGTCATCCTCAGATATGTCGGAGCTGCCTGCCTTCCTCAGAGCTTCTCCGGTGGCCTCGAGATTCTGCAGGACCTGGACCCCTCCCCTCGGCCCTTGCCCAGCCGGCCTGGCAGCTCTGCCTTCCTCACGGGCCTCCTGGCCGTTCCTGTCACCCCCGCATGTGCCGGCCTCTGCCCGGGAGGTTTACCCAGGCAGCCTCCCCTACGTCCCCGATGCTCCTCTCAGGGCTGTCTGTTCACCTCAGGCTCACCGTGTGTCCCCTGCCTGGGTTCTCTGTGAACACGCAGGCTGACACTGCGTGCTCTGCTGGCTCCTCCCGTTCGAACACGTGCCATGGGAGCAGGGCCGTGGCCGGCAGCACTTGGCCTGCAGAGCTGCTCAGTAGCTACTTGAGTGAGTGAACTCAGCGCAGACTCTCAAAGCCCAAAGCCGGGACCCCTGCGTCTTTGCATCTTGACTGTGTATCCTGTGTCCCCATCGCTGGAGCCCCTGTGGGTGTTGTGTGGGTGGCACCCAAGGAGCCTCGGCGTGTCCTGCTGATATGGTGGGCCTGCAGAACACGCTGAGATAAGCCAAAGAGTTCGGGTGCTCCTGACAGTTTCCTCATTGTCTTTTGGAGGCCTCCAGATTTGGGTCTTCTTGTCTTCATTTCGTGGGTAACTCTGTATAAAGGTGGCTTACATTTTCTCTACCACATAGTTCGTCAGTTTCCTCTCTCATGCCAGGATAACAAAACCTGTCATTGCATCCACCATGTCTCTGATTTGTAAGGTTCCCCAGACTGGTCTGAATGCGTGTGGAGGAATAGGAAGGGAGAGCTGGTGGCGTGGCGTTGCGTGCCTGCATTAGACGTGCAGTACACTGTGGCTTTCGCCCCTCTCCAGTTTGAAAAGAACACACAGTCAGATCTGCTGCTCAAGGAGCTCTTTGTGGAAAATGCCCACCTGACAAAAGCACTTCAAGTCACTGAAGAGAAGCAACGAGGCGCCAAGAAAAAAATCCCGATTCTTGGAAGGAAAAGGTAGAGCTCTCAGCAATCTTCTCAGCAAGATTGCTACAGCGCCCCTCGCTGTATTGACTGCTTTTCTTCCTGGCGTTCATTTTGAAAGAAAGTATTTCAAAGTAAATCAGTGTGACACCGTAACTTATGGTGGCTCGTTGGCTGTACGCCCCTGGCTAGATGAGGATTGTCATTCTGTTTACCCCACAAGCATTTAATGAAGGTCTGTGTGCCAGATGCTGGGGAAACACGTTGGAAAAGACTACTTTTTTTTTTTTTTTTTAGTGGTCCTTGGACAACTTCCAGAGTTACATTCCTAATTTTGCTACTGAAAAACAAACCAGATTATGGGGTTCTCAGCAAGGTAAATGGTAAAATAAAGCAATTTTAATCTTGCACTTCTGACCTTGGCTATAGAGATTAAAATGCAAAGTCAGGGCTCTGTAGTTTTACCATTGCACTGTTAGTGCAATGGGTTTAGTCTCTGGCATTCTCGATCGATATAGACACTCCAGAAATGCTACACTTTCTGTGACTTTCAACTGGCAATAAGGGATAGAGTCACTGTATTTGCAATAAAATCCTTCTCTATTAAAACCAATTAACTTCTAAATATTTTTTAAACTAAAACATTTCAAAGATACAGAAAAATAGTTCTATAGGAAACATTCATATGTATTACATAAACATGCAGATGTGTTAAGAACATTGTTACAACATCTTGGACAGAAGCCCCCTCCCTGTTCTACTGCAGCCAACCTCTTTCTTCTTCCTGGTGGCAATGGCTCTCCTGAAGCTGCTGCACGCCCCCTCCCCTCCATCTGTCTGCACATTTACTCTACGTGCTTGAGTGAGAAAAAGCTTAAACCGCTGGAAGCGATGGAAAGCTCAGATCTGGGGTAGAAGGACTCAACAACATAATGTGGACTCCTCTCCATGCACATATGGTTGCTTAACCTATGAAATAGAGGCGAGGATGGACAGTGGGGAAAACCCTCTTCAATAAGTGATGCTGGGAAATCTGGACAGCTCCGTAAAAGAATGAAATTAGAACGTTCTCTGATACCATACACAAACGTATTCTTGAAATGCATGAAAGACCTACATGGAAACTTTTAGAGGAAAACATAGGTTGAACACTCTTTGAGGGAATTCTCTGGCAGTCCAAGGGTTAAGACTCAGCACTTTCACTGCTGTGGGCCTGAGTTCAGTCCCTGGTCAGGGAACTAAGAGCCCACAAGTTGCATGGCACAGCCAAAAAAAAGCACTCTGACATAAATTGCAGAAATATCCTTTTTGATCCATGTCTTAGAGTACTGAAAATAAAAGCAAAAATAAACACATGGGACTTAATTATACTTAAAAGCTTCTGCACACCAAAGGAAACAATAAACCAAACAAAAAACTAACAGAGAGGGAAAAAATATTTGCAAAGGAAGCAACTGACAAGGGATTAATCTCCAAAGTATACAAATAACTCATGTAACTCTATGTCAAGGAAATTAGAATAACCAGAATCCCAATTTAAAAATTGGCAAAACAAATAAATAAAAATACAAAATAGAAATGGGCAGAATACTGTAATAGACAGTTCTCCAAAGAAGACATACAGATTGCCTGTAGGCACATGAAATGATGTTCATCATCACTAATTATCAGTGATATGCATGACAGAACTGCAATGAGGTATCACATCACACTGGTCAGAATGGCCATCATCCAAAAGTCTACAAATAGTAAAAGCTGGAGAGGATATAGAGTAAAGGAAACCATCCTACATTATTGGTAAAACTAAATTGGTACAGCCACCATGGAGAACAGTATGGAAGTTCCTTAAAAAGATGAAAATGCAATAGAACTACTGTACGATGCAGAAGTCCCACTCTGGGGCGTATATCTGGAGAAAACTAATTCAAAAAGATACACATACTCCAGTGTTCATTCCAAACTCCCTTTCCTTCCAAGGTTGCCACGTACCATTGAGCAGAGTGGCCCATGCTCTACAGTAGGAAAGATGATTGAGTTTTCAACCTTGGATCCATCACTTGCTGTCAGATGGCTTTGGTGAGGCTACTTAACCTTCTCTGAGGGGAGCAGCTCCTCAGCTTCTGCTGGAGGAACCAGGAGATGGGTTCCCCTCTGCCCCCTCCCCAGCAGCACATGCCTTGGCCCTGGTCCACTGATACTTTGTCTTGTCCAGGCAGAAATGTTTAGGCCTGAGTCCTGCTCCTCTTCGGTCGAAAACCTTCATCATTAGCCTTCCTCTACTCACCATCCTGGGGTCTGGGGCCTGGTGCCCACCTGTCCCAGGCCCATGGCCTCCTGGCCTCCTGCCCACTCTCCAGAGCAGCTGGACCCCTCCTTTCTCCCCAGCCTTGCCTTGATTATACCTAATGTCCACCCTTACTAGACTAGCTTTCCACCTAGTGACGGCACGTCCCTGATTCTGCAGAAACAGTGATAATGTACAAATTACTAAGAGTCGTGATTGCTGCCACATGTACACTTAACAAAATGCCCCTTCACTCTACCTGATAACCTCCAACACCCACAGCTTCATAAAGTGATGTTGGGATGAGACAGTTGAGGCTGAGGGTTTAAACTTAATATTTGAGCTGGGATTTGCACACGCACAACCTGCCTGCCACCAACATCTAACTCTTTCTGCTGCACCCTTTGGTTTTTCTTTATCACTGTGGGGGTTAGTTGATATTAGTGCCAGATCATTGCTGGAACATCCTTGCTGGGTATGACCTATCCCTCTTCCTCCCCAGGCAAACAGTCTAATTTGCGGGGTGAGATCACAGTGGACAGGAGATAGATACATGGATCCATAGACAAATGGAGAGAATTAATTGGTTGAAATATATGAGGCTCATTTTGGGGCAGAGCCAGAGTAATAATTCAAAAGGATTCCAGCATCCTGAGCTTTGCCTTATCCACATACTACTATGATCTCTCTTCTCAATGCTGAGGGCCCAGACATGGCCTTTGGGTTCTGCACTCCTAGAGATGTGGTTTATTTAAGCATCTGAATGCCAGCACCCCACTTTCCTTTAGAGAGATTTCTTGTGCTCTGACAGCTTCAGAAACTAACCAGGGAGCCGATGTGGACACAGCAGCCCAAGCACTGCTTGGAGCTGCAGGCTGCACTTGCCTGGATCCTGGAGAAATTATTCTCCCATCCCTCAGCCTCATTCTCAGGCTGAAAACAGCCCCAGGGCCCATCCATGCCCATGATAAAGAATCCTCTCTCTCCGCCCCGCACACACCCAGGTTCAGACCTGGGCCAGTTTCACCACCTTTCAGGTTGGCTGTTGCCTGTCCTCTGATTTCAGTGTTGACTGTCTGGTGATGTCCATGTGTAGCGTCTTCTCTTGTGTTGTTGGAAGAGAGTGTTTGCTATGGCCAGTGTGTTCTCTTGGCAAAACTCTATGGGCTTTTGCCCTGCTTCATTCTATACTCCAAGGCCAAATTTGCCTGTTACTCCTGGTGTCTCTTGACTTCCTACTTTTTCATTCCAGTCCCCTAGAATGAAAAGGACAACTTTTTTGGGTGTTAGTTCTAAAAGGTCTTGTTAGGTCTTCATAGAACCATTCGACTTAAGCTTCTTCAGCATTACTGGTTGGGGCATAGGCTTGGATTACCATGATATTGAATGGTTTGCCTTGGAAATGAACAGAGATCATTCTGTCATTTTTGAGACTGCATCCAAGTACTGCATTTCAGACTCTTGTTGACCATGATGTCTACTCCATTTCTTCTAAGGGATTCCTGCCCACAGTAGTAGATATAATGGTCATCTGAGTTAAATTCACCCCTTCCTGTCCATTTTAGTTCGCTGATTCCTATAATTTTGGCGTTCACTCTTGCCATCTCCTTTTTGAACATTTCCAATTTGCCTTGATTCATGGACCTAATGAATTATCCTATGCAATATTGCTCTTTGCAGCTTCGGACCTGGCTTCTATTCGGTCACATCCACACCTGGGTATTGTTTTTGCTTTGGCTCCATCCCTTCATTCTTTTCTGGAGTTATTTCTCCACTGATCTCCAGTAGCATATTGGGCACCTGCTGACCTGGGGAGTTCCTCTTTCAGTATCCTATCATTTTGCCTTTTCATACTGTTCATGGGGTTCTTAAGGCAAGAATACTGAAGTGGTTTGCCATTCCCTTCTCCAGTAGACCACATTCTGTCAGACCTCTCCACCATGACCCGTCTGTCTTGGGAAGGCCCCATGTGGCATGGCTTAGTTTTTTTGAGTTAGACAAGGCTGTGGTCCGTGTGATC